CGAGAAAAGACCATCTTATTCTGTTTAGAAATGTCAAAATCAGAATCTATGAAGAGAGGAACCAAACCTTGTACTTTATGTTTAAGAATTATTTTAATTACTAAGGCAGAAATACATATAACTTCACATTGATTCAATAAGCAGGTTACAGCAGGCAGGGTATGGTAGTCAATATTGTGCTGTTACTACAGAAACACATTCACTTCTTCTCTCTCAGCCAATTTAACTCTTCATGTTACAAGGCACAGCTCACTGACATATTAACATCTTATCTGTAGTGACACCAGCTACTCCATAACATCTGTCACACTTAGAGAGATTCTGCAACTCAGTTTGATGAAGTTTGATTGTCGTTCCACAGATCAGTCAGTCACTAGCTAACAAGCATAAGCATATTTACCTGCACTGAGACAATAATTTAAACACAAATTCATTTCTAATCACAACAGTTGAAGGCTATGAAGCACAGATTGGGGATAAAAGCATGTTTTTTGGTTGGAGGCAGGTAATTAATCCAATTCTTCCCTTGTTTGTACTTGTCTAAAGAAAAACTAAATATTTTTTTGCAGTTGATAAAACTCTCCACATGATCGTCCCTCAACCTCCATCATATCAGCCACTTTTCGTATCTGTTCAGCAATTTTTGACTTGGCTCCACTGAGAAAGTAAATGATGTTCTTTATTGCAAAGTAGACCTCATACACAACAAAGATTGCTATGAGACGCTGTAAAATAGCCCTCACTGGGTTTACCCTGCGGGTGGCCTCCATGTTGATAATGGGGCGAAAACTACCTAAGCTACTGGAGAACATCTCAGCTTTCCCAGTAAATGTGTCTCTTCCTGATTTCATGAACAATTGGATTCTAGTGTTTAGTTTATTGTAGCAATCCGCCATGGCTCTGCTCTCTGTTTTATATTGTTCTATTATTTCATTCACTCTTATCACTTTCTCTGCTTGTGTAGCAATGATATTGCCACGAGCTACAGAGATACGATTACCCCTGACTTCAAGCACCAGAACTCCCAGAAGGCTGAGGCTGAATGTGAACACCAACCTTTTCATAATTTCGTTCCCTAATTCTATGACAGTGACTATTCCGCATCAAACAGTATCATTCCGACAATACACAGTATGGAGCCCACAATGGTCAGAACTGTGTCTGATCTGTGATGGCTGTCGATGTGGTCCGCAGCCTCTCGCAGTGTTCTCAGGTGTCCTGCCACCTGTTGTCTCCACACAGAGAGCTGTGATTTAAAGCTCTGCACATCATCAGTCCTCTTTGCCAGCTCAGTGAGGAAGGCTTTCCTGTGAACACAAACACAACCAACTCTCAGCTACTGCCCACATTACACACAGCACCAGACACAGGGAGCCCAGTGGGGTCAGGGCAGCCTTTCCCACAGAGGAAAGTAGTTACAGATTTCTGAAGAGAAAGATCATGTGTTGTCCAGAGGGCTGAGGGCAGCTCTGTCTGTCTCTCTCTCTTTTATGTTTGCCAACAGCACAATATTGACTACCATACCCTGCCTGCTGTAACCTGCTTATTGAATCAATGTGAAGTTATATGTATTTCTACCTTAGTAATTAAAGGAACTCTTAAACATAAAGTACAAGATTTGGTTCCTCTCTTCACAGATTCTGAGTTTGACATTTCTAGCAGTTCAAAGGAAACGAGGGAAGTTAAAAAGAGTTGGTCACATGATTGTTTTATTATTCAATCTCAGTCTCCAGACTTTATTAATATGCTATAATATAATATTAATATGTTATTTTATTGTTATATTTATTGTCATAATAAATTAGTTGATAATTTATAAATAATATTTATAATATTTATAAATAAACAATCTGTAAATATGTGAATAAATACATTTATAAATTAAAGAATTAGAATTTATAAATATAACATTGCAAATTATTATAGTATAGTTTATATTATTTTATGTAATTTTATATAAGTGTCTGTCATTAAACAACATCTGCCGCCTCTCAGCCCAGTTCCCCAACCTAACCACGTTTCTGTCCACGAGTCCTGTTATCAGTGACCACTCAATCCGGGATCCGAGTTTAAACCCCAATTGTAGACCATTACCATGAAGTAACCAGCAGTGACCCCAACACTGAGCCCTGGGCACCTGCCAGTCACTGGCGACGTCTCATTGTGCTCCAGGAACCACTGCCCTTTATTTCCTTTCATTCAGGGAACTTCTTATCCAATTTACACGTCCCTCTATCCCGCTGACACTAACATGTGTGTGGAGCCAGGAACATCCCCACCCCCCCATCTCTGAACCTGGGTGGGGGGGGGGGGGGAGAGAAATTAAATAAAGAGCCATTCAGACAGAGTCAAATGAGAACGAGAACAATATCAGGCAGTTTCATCAGCGGTTGTCTCACACCTGTACGTACCAGATTTCGGTGTTGCTGACTGTGTCTGTTAAACAAGAAAGAAACAAGAGCCATTACCACTGGTTATTAACAGATATTGAATGACAAATGTCCTATCCTCCTTCTGGTGTGTGGTGTGTGTGGGGTGGTAAGCGAGGTCTCTTCAGAGCTGAACTGGCTCCAAGGTGATATGTTTGCTAACAGAATGTCAGTATGGAGCCCACCCTCTGTTACGGTCTCTAATGCAGGTCCTGAGCAGCCGGGTCCGCAATATTTCAGAGCACTGCTGATGACAGCTCAGCCCAGCTCATCGGCAGGACTTGGAGTGGCAGACTAGCCACAGTAAATCTTCCCAAACAGCTCCTGTTAACCCTGAATGCCTTAACGGATGAGATAGTGCCAGCTGGCAAACGATGGGAAAGCTTACCAGTGAGAAAAAAACAATGGCAAGCTCTGTGGGATTATCTGGATAGACTCCAGCAGTTACCGCAATGCACACTCTGGGGTCCATGTGAAGGGCACCTCTCAAACCTGCTACTAATACTCTCTCCAGAATTAGGTAGCAGGATGCATCCCCTGTCACGGTCATCTTATTTTTATTAATGCTTTAACTTTGTCTAATGATATTTCCTATGGATAGCCTGTGCACAGAGAGTTTGTGTTAAAATAAGGCGCTTTGCCTTTAAGCGGAAATCATGGTCCAGGGAACAGAATATAATCTTAAAGGGGTAATAATAATAATAATAATAATAATAATAATCCTTGCATTTGATATAGCGCTTTTTCACGTCGGGAGGACGTCCCAAAGCGCTTCACAGAACACACTGTAAAGTGAATTGACTGCATATTTGTGGGCGAACGCGGCAGCCAATTGCGCACAGCAATGTCCAACAAACAGTCATAGATTGGAAAATGACCAATCTATTATTGCTTTTGGTTTTGGAGGGATTATTATCACACACAATGTCTGTGATCTGGGTGAGTGTTGCAACAGAAAGCATAGGAAATCATCATGTGGGTCATGGAGCAGGAACCAAGTGATACAACGGCAGGGGAGGAGATTGTAAATGACGGGAAAAGGTATCGAGAGATACATTGAAAGGGGGAGGAGTTAGAAAAATATAAAATGAGGAGCTCATTAAACTCAGAGTCACTCTTCACCTTTAGTGTCATCAAGAAGGCACGTGCCTGACCTGAGAGCCTTGTCTCTAGATCAAGATTGTTTTTTCTTTATTCACTAACTTTAAGCTTCTCGAGTCATAATTATTGTGTCAGAGTTTTTCTGTTTCTTAACGTGTGACTTTTTATCTTATATTGGTCAGTGTAATGAGGTATAGGGTTGTTAGGATCAATAAGCACCATTGTGTTTTCTAAAAAGCGCATGTCGAGTCTGTTAAATTCAATTATCTAGAAACAGGTTACTGCAGAAGCCACTGTATGTTAGATGAGAAGGGCACTATGAATTATAATTGGGATTACCTGTCATTAATTCTCACACAGTGAAGGGAACTTGCACGTCACCGAGAGAATCTACACAGAGGCCACCTGGGACATTGTGCGCTTAACATACATGGGTTTACATTTGGGGGTGAGAACCGTCACACCCTCCAGGGAAAGAGAGCGCATTCCATTCCAGATACAGAAATATCCACAAATGTGGAACACTCAGTCTGGTTTGGAGACTTTTAAGCACCCGATGGGTTTCCACGTGTATCAGCCACTCAGTTGCTCAAACAAATTGTATATGTATTTATTTATACAGAATCATTTTCTACCATATATGGAGATGTAGAATTATAGGCTCGGCTGGCAAATGAGCAATGGTACAGCTGGAGTGAGCAGGCGGGAGGTGGAGACAGTGAGGGCCAGAGGTGAGGAGGTGCAATCCCTTCTCTTTGACACACACTGTGCCAGCCTTGATCTCTCCCCCTCACACACATCACAAGATTATTATTTGTTTTGGTCAGACACAGACAGTTCTGATATCTTCCTGGACCCACCCTGAATATTATATCACTGGAACCTGCCTCAGCTGCTGCACCTGAGTCCTGTGTGCAGTACATTGATGCAGTACCTGACGGGAAAGGCACTGTACAAATGTAGTTTGTTGTTGTTGTTACTGTACCTTCCAGATGTTTATAAACCTCTTCATACGCCGTCACTTCATCCTCCAGCACTTTAGACACATCCTCAATGTGTTTAGCAATATCTGCCCTGGCTCCACAGTTGAGATTATGACCATCGTTTGCTCTGGGGATCAGAGATGACATGAAAGGCAGCCTTGTCTGAGCTGCTGACCCGGCTTTTGGATGTCACTGTTTCCTGTTTGGTTATTGTTTTCATCCACAGCAACAAATCCAGCCAAGGGTTCAGTGAGACTCTCAGCTCCACCAGGAAATGCAGTTTCTGATTTCTCACAATGCTTCAAGAACTGAACTGCTCGTAAGAGTTTTGTGTAACACTCTGCCATTTTTCTACTGTCCTTTGTATATTGCTCCATGATATCATTAATGTCTCTGTCTTTGGGTAACAATGTCCATGTCACAAGCTGCAGTGTTGGCAGCCCCACCAGCCACACTCTGGCCAACTCCCACACTCGTGACATTGTGAATCGAGTAAATGTCGTCTGCGATCTTTTGTAGGTCTCTGATGTAGCTGATCATCCACACTCTCCAGCCAGGGAACAAGGTGACAAAATCTCTTACATCCTCCTTCCTCTGTTCAACCTCAGCTTTGAGTGCTTTCCTGTTAATATGAGAAACTCCAATTAGAAACCCAGCTCAGAGGAAGGACACTTGATCATCATGTCTGTGCTTCTCACTGAGAGTTATCAACTCTATCCCATTAACCTGCCATTTCCCCATCCCCTCCTCTGCCTTAATTCTTTGATAGGGAAAATGCGCTGGTAACTGGCAAATAAGGTTTAATTCAAGATTCGAGTTGTAATTTCAGGACAGACACCAGGAAGTTTTTTCTTTGCACAGGATAATTAACGACTGGAATAGAAAAGGCGTTTGAGGCCAGGACATTGGGATTAACTTAATCCACGACTGTTTTCAGGAGACTGCTGTGTGCAATTGGCTGCCGCGTTTCACCCACAAAATACAGTTACTATATTTACAGTATATCTTGTAAAGCGCTTTGAGACATCTCAAAGATATAAGACGCTATATCAAATGCAAGGTTTAATATTATTATTAATGTGCAGAGCTGGACCAACTCGCTGCTTGCACTGGCTGTTTTCCATCCTAATCAAGGCTGTTACGATCATCTCAGCATCATTCATCATTCATTCATCGGCTCAGCATGGTGCGGTGTGATCAGTCTGTCAGCCCGGCCTTGTTATCATTCAGTCTCTGCACTGTTTTATTTAAGCTTTATTAAAGCCAAGGAGGGGCAGGGAGGGGAATAGAGAGAGAAATGAGATAAAGAACCAATCAGACAGAGCATGTGAGAATGATTGATTCATTCACAATATCAGGCAGTGTATTCAGCAGCTGCCTCACATCTGTACGTACCTGTCTTCAGTGTCACTGGACTGTGTCTGTTGAACAAGGGAGAAACAGGAGCCATTATCACTGGTTATTATCTGGTACCGACAGTGAACAGACACAATCCTGACTGATACAGTGACCACACAGGAGGGAACATCTCCTGTGCAGGAGCTGGAATAGGCCATTCGGCCCTTCGAGCCTGCCCCGCCATTCAATCATGGCTGATCTTCTAATCTAACTTCAGCTAATAACCTGACCCCGCCTTATCCCCATATCCCTTAATCCCTTTTGCAATAAGAAACATATCTATCTCAGTCTTGAATATGTTCAAGGACTGAGCATCAACAGCCCTTTGGGGTAGCGAGTTCCATACATTCACCGCCCTTTGAGTGAAGAAGCTCTTCCTCAACTCAGTGCGAAAGGGCTGGCCTCTGATTTTAAGGTTGTGACCCCTGGTTTTAGTTTCTCCAACCAGGGGAAACAATCTCCCACTATCTACGCTATCATGCCCTTTGATGATCTTATAGGTTTCTGGCTCCACTGCTGTCAAGGTTTGGCTTCTTTTCTGGCAAATGCAGAGGGTCACGCAGGAGCCGCGAGTGGGGAAAACTCAACATAACAGAGACTCAGAGACACAGCAATAATAATAATAATAATAATTGTAATAATCTTTGCATTTGATACAGAGCCTTATCACTTTGTTGAAAGTTTTCAAAGCGCTTCACAGAACATACCGTAATGTAAATCGACTGTATATTTAGTGAAATACCAGCAACACAGGGACAATGACTGGAACAAACACAGGTACCATTCCACCTGTCCCATCCCCACACACCACATTCCCCCACACTCACAGAAACCAATCCCCCAAATACAGTCACTGTCACCCACACACCAGACACTGCCACCAACACATACACACACCGTTCCCCTTTCAACACACACAGAAACTGTCCCCAACCCACACACACACACCACCCTTCACATACACAGACACCACTCCCAACATAGAGATTGTCTCCAACACACTCGCACCCATGCACACTGTCCCCAACACAGACACTGTCCCGAACACACACAGATAATATCCCCTACATGCGCAGATACCTTCCACAACATAGACAACACCCCCCACACACACAGACTCCGTCCCCCACACACATAGATACCATGCCCAACAAACACACAGACATCGCTCCCAACACCCAGACACCGTTCCTCCCACCATAAACACAGACACCATTACAAACATATGCATAGACACCATCCCCCAACCCACCCCACACATTCACAAACAGACACTATCACCCACACGCAGAGATCAGTGATATTACGGAACTCGCTATCTGAAGTGGTGGGTGAATCATATGATTGCATTTATGGTCATTTAAGAGAAAGCCAGACTTTCACATGAGGGAGAGGAGATTAGAGGGTGTGAAAGGGAGTAAGGAGCGGGTGAAGACTTGTGTGCAGTATAAACACCAGTGCAGACTGGTTGGGCTGAGTGGCCTGTTTCTGTGTTGTACAGTCTGTGTAAATCTACAAAAGTAAAGCAATAAAGCTGAGTTTGTACAAATCATTGGTGAGGCCACAGCTGGAGACTCTGTTCAGTTTGGGACTCTCACGTCAGGAAGGCTGTTCTCTCCTTGGAAGGGATGTGCAGGAGGTTTACGAGAATCAATCCCGGGGATGAGAGGCTTCGGTTACGAGGAGAGATTGGGGATGTTGCTTTCATTGGACCTGAGAAGGTTGAGAGCTGATAGAGGTGGGCACAATGGTGAGGGTTTAAATAGGGTAAATAGGGAGAAGCTATTCCTACTGGCTGGCAGTCAGGGACCAGGGGCCTTGGTTGTAAGACAGTCACAAGAAGAACAAAAGAAGAGCTTTGATGAAATTGTTTCACCCAAAGAGTTATTGTGGTGTAGAAAGTGCACCTAACTAAGGTGGGAGAAGCAGAGTCCATTGTGGTGTTCCACAGGATATTAGACAGGGATATTATGAGAGAGAGAGAGAGAGACTTGAGACTTGGGGATAAGGCAGGGCAGTGGGATTGAATGATCAGCTTGCTCTGAGAGCCAGTGTATGGCCTCCTTCTGTACTATAAATTCTATGATTCACTGATTCACAAACACGCTGACTGTGCATAAATGTAAGTAGTTATTATTCTAACTGGGGAGGAGGAACCAAAGGGAGAGTTGGAGGGTGTTGATGAAAGTCACAATCAAAGAGATAGGATTTTAAGTGAGTGTGAAAGTGGAGAGAGAGGCTCAAGGTGATGGGGTTTCAGACAGTGGGGTTGTGTTTGACGGCTCAGGGCTGATTCAGAGGAATGGCAGGAGGTTGTTATCTTACTCGGTGCAGTGGGCACAGGATTAAAATAAAAAGTTAATATTGTCATCATTTCCAATAGATTAATTACCTGGTTTGAGAATCCCTGCCATTGTGTGAACTCTTCCCTGTCGTCAATGATGCTTTTGTACAACCTTTGGAAATGAAGAAAACCAATGTGAATCCAATCTCTCCCCATCGTCAGTGACAAAAACCACAGTCAATCTGATCATTCTGTCAATCACATCCTATATTTAAGTTTGAATTTAATGATTAAAACAATTTATCAGTAATCAATGGGAAGGGATATGAGTTGTAGACAAGGAGATGGTGGCAATGCTCTCACACATTTCATGCTGAGCTGTGTTTCCTACCAGGAAGTTTGCAGGGAATTCCATACTTAAAAGGATCCGAAACCAAACAAAGAAATTCCCAAGATGATTATTGGAATGCAATGTATACTCTAGAGAGACACATTCTCTTACCTAATTCCAGAAAGTATTTTCACTGTAGCTGAGGAGGTCGTGAAGGGTTGATAGAGGTTGACACAATATTGAGGGTCTCAATAGAGACAATAGGAAAAAAAAGTCGCAGGAAGTTCCTGGTATCTGCCATCCACCCAATGAGGGCTCAAACCCTCACTTGTTGAATGTCACCGACCAACTAGCGACTATACTCTGGAGTGCGGGAGATGACCAAGGTCTCCTTTGAGCTGAACGGGCTCCAAGGTGACTTGTTTGGCATCAGATTGTTAGAATCAAGCCCACCCTTTGTGACAGTTTCTAATCTAGTTCCTGAGGCAGGTGGGTCTGCAATACTCCAGGTCACTGCTGATGACAGCCCAGCGTGGCTGGCAAATCGGCAGGGCTTGGAAAGGCAGAACAGTCACTGGGGACAGGGAGTCATCCCACTCAGCTCCCATTAAAGCACTCGCGGATTATGTAGACCAAGCTGGATAAGCAATGGGAAGTTTTGCCAGACAGTGATCCCAATGGCAAGCTATGTGGTCTTAACTGGTTAGACTCCAACAGTTATCCCACAGCACATTTTGGTGTCCTCAAGGTTTGGCTTTTGCCAATTTGTGCCTATTAATTTCTGGAGTTAGGTAAACCGAATGCATCTCTCCAGGGAGAGAGTGCATATTCCATTCCAATAATCATCTTGGGAATTTCCATGTTTGCTTTGAATACTCTTAAGCACGGTGATGTGTTTACACATTGTTTTGGGTCAGCCGGGTGTTTTTGGTCTTTTGTTTATAATGCAATTCAACTCTCTCCCTGGAGTGTTCACTCATATTGAGCCACGACAGTGTTCACTGCAATAATCAGAAAGGCTATTTTGGTTATGAAAATGTTACCCACTGAGCAGGAATAGAGGACTGGCAGTGCCCAGTGCTTCTCAGCCTGGTTTGGCTGTTTCTAGTTTTGAGACTTTGAGTGGGATGTAATTTCAGAACATTAAAATGTTGTTTCTTATACAAGGAATGGAATGTGGTTAGGAATCCATCAATGGTGATCAATATTCAACATGTCTCCTCATCAGTGACCCACACAAGGTTACATCAACTTTCTTTGACTTGTCCAGGAATCAGATTCCAGGAATTATCTCAGTTCCTGCTCACCCTCACATTTATCACCGTTATTTATTTCCCCACCTTTGTCCTGTTCCACCAACCTTACAATTGAATTACAGTCATATTCCTCAATGCTACTGTGTGCAATAATCCTTTCACTAACATCTACTATACTTGAGCACTGAAGGTTAATAATTGACCACCAGTTTAGATAAGTCCAGCAGGTAAATGTTAATCAGTGTTTGCTGGTGACTTCTGGGCCATAAATCTCAATGAAATCAAAATGTTTTCATAATAATCAATGAAAGCTCAGGAGGGGATTGAACCACCAGGGGACAGAAGTGGTAAACAGGTGAAGGATAATCATAGAATCATAGAATCGTACAGCACAAAAAGAGGCCATTTGGCCCATCGAGTCTGTGCCGGCTCTTTGAAAAGAGCAATGTAATGTCAATCCCACTCCCCAGCCCTTTCCCCATAATTCTGCAAACCCGTCCTCCTCAAATACCCGTCCATCGCTTTTTTAAAAGTTGTTATCGAATCGGCCTCGACTGCCCTTTCAGGCAATGCATTACAGATTCGAACAACTCAGAAAAGCAGCCGTTCACCACAACTCTCTGCTTTCTGTCTCCCAGCCAGTTCTGGATCCATGCTGCCACTGTCCCTTTTATACCATTATGGAAAATCAGCATGGATTTGTGAAATGCAGATCATGTTTGACCAATTTACTACAATACTTTTTTGAAGTAATAACTGCAAATATAGAGAAAGGCAATGCTATGGATGTTGTATATTAGGGTTTCCATCTGCAGTCTCACAATCCTCTATTCCTCCCAGCTTGGTATCACCCGCAAACTTTGATACCATCCCCTCTATATCTAAATCAAAGTCATTAATATATAGGGAACAAAGGAGATCTAGTACAGATCCCTGTGGCATGCAATTAATTACCGGCTGCCAAACGGGAAACATCCTTTTATCCTCCCTCTCTGCTTCCTGTCCTTTAACTACATTTCTGTCCCAAAGCACCACAGTTCCCTCTATACGCTCTGAGTTTCTCCACCAATATCTTGTGTAGCACCTTATCAAATGCCCTCAAAACATAGAGTCAATGCACTATAATTAAAACAGCTTTAACCAGACGGCTTTGCACTCCTCTCTATGTCTGTTGCCCTTACAGCCAGAATGATTTCACTCCCCGCTGTCTGGCCGACAATCCCCCGGATAAACCTGGTTGTTCAGCTCATGGCTGTCTGTGGGACATTGCTGTGTAGCTATCATGTTTGTCTACATATAGTCACTACACGTTACAGAAAACCTCTGGGAAGTGCTTTGAGATGTTTTGACATGATGAGGCGCTGTATCAAAACAGAAATCATTTTTCTAAAACCCTGCAATCCAAGTCAAAAAACTCAATAATCTACCCCATGCTGCAGGAATGAAACATGCTAATGTGTGGATAACTGCACAATGAAGACACAACAGTGCAATAGTCAAGCCTCACATTCACTGGAATATCAGCAATACCACTTTCACTCATTCTCTGAGAGAGACAAAACCCTCACTCACTCTCTGTGATAGAGAGAGAGAAATCCTCACAAACTCACTGTAATAGAGAGAGAATGCCTCACTCACTCTCTGTGATGGAGAAATGTTCACTCACTCTCTGTGATGGAGAAACCTTCAATCATTCTCTGTGAGAGAGAGAAACCCTCCTCACTTGTGATAGAGAGAAAAACCCTCACTCTCTGTGAAAGAGAGAAACAGGACTTAAACATGTCAATGCTTTAATGTGTGAATAACCACGCAATGAAGACATAACAGTGCAAAAGTCAGATACAATGACCAGGATAGTGGCTGAGACAGCAAAGTAAACCAGAGTCACAAGCCAATGTCTGCAACTGAACCCAAAGGTGTGTGACAGGTTGTGGATGGGAACAGTTAGGCTGAGTTCATGGAAACAGGTTCAGACAAAAGCTCTTCAGACAATCTGATCTATTCCCAGATTCCCTGCCACATGGCCAGTCTGAAACTTTCAATCTCACCTCAAATCTTCTTCCTTAGGTTATTGTAACTTTGTCTTCACTTTGCTGGTATGAAGCAGCTATGTTAAATGTTCTGGTTAAGCACCAAGTATTATATATGGATTGATGGTCACTGGCTGGGGCACTGGATGACTGACTGGCAGGTTTTTCAATGGGATGATTCTAAGTTACTATAAGTTCAAGAAATCAGTGTTCAGCAGATATATAACTCAACACTCCTTTATTGTCACTGTAACCAACAAGGGTTGGCTGCAGCAATGAACACGTGACTCCATAAAGATTTATAACTTAAGCAAAGCTGGTAATGAAATATGATGATAAGTCACTGACTAGTAACTAGTAAGAGCAACGAAAGACACTGACTAGTAACTTATACTAGATCCAGGAAATGCTGAGAGTGAAAGATAATATGGACAGAACCACCCAGTAATGGGTAGAGTGCCAATCTCTCTAACCTCCCCTCGTAGCTAGACCTCATAACTCTGGTACCAGCCTGGTCTTCATGATTCTCTCTGAGCCACACACTCCGTCAGTGTACCAATTGTAGTGTCTATCCATGAGAACCGTGATCCTAGTGAGACCGAGAACTACATAGGGATCTCATTGATTTCAGTGGCTCTTAAAATGGTTCTTTGGGTAATCACTGCACATGTATCGCAAGCTTTGGAGCTCATGTTTGATCAGGAAGGAAGACTGGCTTCTGTTCTTGTGAGGATTGTGTGGAACAGTTTGTAGTTTTGTATAAGATGACAGAACTCCATAAGGTTAAGGAAAACCCACCCTTATTGCATTCATTAACTTCTTTTCGACCTAATGCCTCATGAAACCGTCATGATTAAACATGGAAATAATGGCGAAATCCGTTTCAAAGCGCTTCACAGAATATACTACAAGTGAATTGACGTATATTTTGTGGGCAAAACGCAGCAGCCAATTGCACACTGCAGTGTCCTACACACAGTCGTGGATTGAGTGACAAAATTATTATTGTTTTGTTTCTTGAGGGATTATTGTCAGGCATATCAAGTAAGGCAACTTGCCCAAGGTTTCACCCTAGTGGGAAATGAACCCATGTCTCTCTAACCACTGAGCTACAGGACTCCACAGTTGAAGAATACCCTTCAAACCCATCTGATCTCATCCCTCCAGGAAAACCACCCCATTGTTATCACAGCACAGAGCTGCTTTTTAAATTAATCCAGTGGCCTGGCCTCAGTCAGCCATCCTGTCAACTTGTTCCAGTCGTTAATTACCTTCTGGGTAAAGAAAAACTTCCTGGTGTTTGTACTGAAATTCTCCTTTACATCTCTAAACCTGTGTCATCTTGTTGTACTGTCATATACATCTTAAAATATCGATCTGGGTTTACAATTTCAATCCTCCATGAGATTCCCTCTGAGTTGTCTTCTTTTAAAGTTGAAGAACCCTAGCTTGTTGAATTGTTGCTCATAGCCTGGGCCAATAGAAAATCGCCCTGTGATTTTTTCACGGAATCAACGAAAATAAACACATCACGAGAAACAGTAAAAGTGAAGATTGCTCTGCCCCTGGCCTCTCTATACCCTGCTGCCCACTGTTTGCTTGGCCTCTCTCTTTGGTGCCTCTGTGCATACGACTGTGGTGGAGCAGTTCCAGACATGGCTCCAGAGGGGACATGGGATTTGCTTTCTGGGGAGTGACCATGACCCCCCCCACCTCCAACAGCTGCCACTGCTGAGATTGTCTGTGGGCACGCTGTCTGTCAATGTGCATGTCTTCCCCACTGGCTGTAATGTTTGTGTGTCTCTCTCTCTCTCTGTCTGCTTGTCTTTCTGGGTGTCTATGTGCGGTGGCTTGCCCGAGAGGCAGAAGATGATGACCTCCTGGAATATCGCAGTCAGGACTCTGGCGAGCTTGGCAAGCAATGCTGGGCTCGGCATATCTCCAGGCCTTTGAATGCAATGCTATCGTCCAAGGATACACACTCCACCTTATTAAGCCAGTCCAGAACCTTGGCTTCATGTTTGACCCTCAAGTATCCTTTCTACTCCACGCCTGTACCATGGTCTGCTCTGCTTTCCCCCACCTCCGCAACATCGCCCGGTTCCACCACTGTCTCACACTACAAGTGGCCAAAGTCTTCATACACACATTTCTAACATCCAGGCTTGACTATGGAAACTTCCGGCTTGTCGGCCTCCCCAACTCCTCCCTCCATAGGCTACAGATAATCCAGAACTCTGCAACCTGTGTCCACTCCCGCACCAGGCTCCGTGAACCTATCATGCCCATACCCACCCAACTCCACTGGCTTTCCATCACACAGAGGATAACATTCAAGATCCTGGTTCTCACCTTCAAAGTCCCACATGGATTTGATCACCCCTATCTCTGTGACCTCATAACCCCCTACCATCCTGCCTGCTCCCTCCATTCAGCGGGCTCCTGCCTACTTCATGTCACCCAGCTCACCCCACCATTGGAGAGGCAGGCCTTCAGCCACTCTGCCCCCAATCTCTGGAATTCCATCCCACAGTCCTACTGCCTGGCCCCTTCTTTGCCTCCTTCAAGACCCTCGTTTCGCCCACAAATATACAGTCAATTCACTTTACAGTATATTCGTTGAAGTGCTTTGAGACGTCTAGAAGACGTGAAAAGCACTATATCAAATGCAAGGATTATTATTATTATTAAGACCCATCTCAAGAACCTCCTCTTTGACCCTGCCTTTGTTTACCCCTCTTTCACCCACATTCGTTAACGCTCCCAAATCCTGACCCCCAGCTCGGAAACACTGATTGTTCAGTGCCTTGGGATGTCCTCCTGACGTTAAAGGCGCTATACAAATTTCAAAAGTTCCAAATTGTCCAGTCTTTCCTGTTAGTATCCATTCATCCCTGAGAACATACTCATAAACTTATTACATCCAAGTAAAATTATAGTGCAATAGGAAAGTGAATCAATTGGGTAGCCCAGGCCTCCCCACTGTACAATGTGGGGAGGGGCAGAGGAACCTGAAGCAGGTTTCAATGATGGAAAATCAACATGCACAATGGGTTTGGCTGCTTTGTGTGGTTCTGGTTGGCTGTGGCACCAACTATTCAATTGTGACAAGAGCGGATGCGAAATACAGCAACTCCTATCAGAGCATCACCTGGTAGCAAAGTTACAGAAGTGACTTATCACCACATCAGAAAGAACGTTTGATTGTCCAACCATTTCCCAACACGTCGTCCTCATTACTCCTCCCTCCATCTGCTTCTCACATGTTCCCTTTCCTACTGACTGAATCTGCTGCACTGAAGGTCGTTCAATCTGCTGGATTTATGGGGTAATGTATGGTGATGGATTTCTGTGTGTCAGACGTCTGGCTGAAAAAAACAAAAAATTCACCAATCTACTCTGTGCATTTATAATCCCAGAACTTGTCAGTATTCGATCCCTTTGTGACCTTCTCTGTTACAGCTTATGGAGACATTTATAATATTATCCATTTAGATATAGTGACGTATGACACTAAAACATCTGAAAGTATCCACAAGAAGCTATTTTAACTGTAGTGAATATTATGTAAGGAAATACAGCATCAAATCTACAGAAGCACCATCCCACATAGTGATGTGACGAGTTGTCAATCAGAATTGTGATCTTGTTGGGATTACACTGGCACACCTCTGGGAGAGATCCAGGATGACAGGACACTATTTTATTCACCACCACCATCTTTATGTATCTATTACTACACATGCACACAGAAATTTGACTGTTGATGCAATCTTCATAAACACTGCATTCAGAATCTGGGTTACTCTGGCTGCCTGATGCTATGATGGAGGGATGGTAGAGTAGGTGTTCTGTAGGGTGTTAATGGATTTTTTGTTCCCATGTGAAGTACTTTACATTTCTCCACATTGAATTTCATCTGCCAATTCCCAAGTGTGTTCAAACCCTCCTGTAACCTATCTCGTTCAGCTTCGCAATCTATCACCTTCATTAGTTTGGTGTCATCTACAAACTTATCCATTGTGTTTGTGACTCCTAGTTCCAGATCATTTATAAAAACATTGAACAAAAGAGACGCTTGTGAAACTCCACTGGTAATATTTTCGCAGTTTGATGATATTCCCTGTACCACCACCCTCTGGGTTCTTCCAGCCAAACAATTACGTATCCATTGTAATATACCTCCACTGATTCCTGTTTTCTTTACTTTCAGTGCCAGCCTCTCAAGGGGAACTGTGTCAAAGGCCTTATTGAAATCCAGATATGCAACATGCACAGCCTTACCCTTACCAAGCTCCCTTGTCACACCATCAAAGAAAACCAGTACATTAGATTGGCAAGACCTTCCCTTCATTAACCCATATTGGCTATCATTTATGATTTTATTTCTGTCCAGATTCTCCATGATTTTATCATTAATAAGAATCTCCATAATTTTTACCCACAATAGACATCATTACCATGCTCCTAATTACTATGCCACCAGGTTGGTGTCATATGCAATTTTGATCCCACACCTCTTGTACCTCCATCCACATCATTTACGTGTAAGGCAATTCATAGCGGCCCTTACACAGATCCCTGCTGAACACCAATCCCTAACTCTCACCAGCTTGAGAAGATATCTTTATCTCCTACCATTTGCTTTCGCTTTCTGAACTGCTCTTCAATACATTCTGCTACCTCTTCCATGATTCCACATGACCCTATTTTAGCATGAGCTTCTCATGTGGCACTTTATCAAAGATCTGAAAATCCAGATACACTACATCAACTGCATTTCCTGTCAACTATATTGGTTACATCTTCAAAGAATTTGAAAAGGTTGGTCAAACGTAACCTTAAATTCATGCTGGCTGCTTGCAAATATATTCCCCTTTTCCAGATGACTAGTTATTATTATAGATTCCAATATTTTGCCCACAACCAATATTATGCTGACTGGCCTGTGGTTTCCAAGATTCGCTCTATCAACTTTTTTTCCGAATAGATATAACATTGGCCATTCCTGTCCTTCCTTAGTTCTTTGATATATACATGCTATCTCATCCCTAGTTTCTCTAAGAATCCTTAAGAATTTTTGTGGAGAGTCTTTAACAACAACTTGCATTTTTATAGAACCCTCCAAGCCGGGGGCGTCTCAGAGCATTTAACAATGGCGGAGCATGATGCTGAGGCAGGGGCAAGGGGAAGGTAATTGTAGGCATGAT